TGATTTCAAATCAATTTGCAACAAATTTGATGATAATGAAGATTTTTGTGCTACTACATGTGGAGAAAATTTTCAAATATATTTTCAACAATCCTGCTTCTCTATCCTTAAAAACAAAATCAACTTTCAACCCCATCAAAATTTTTAATGCTCGGGCTCCACTTTTAACTCATGTATCTTTACTTTTAACGCATGAGCTCCACTTTTAATGCATGAACTTCACTTTCAACTCTTGTATATTACTTTTAACGCATGAGCTCCACTTTCAACCATGTTCATCACTTGTAACACAGAGCTTCAATTTTTAACCCATATCAGATTTTAAGTCATGATAAGCAGTATTGATACATGAAGATTTTGTGAAGAACAAGATTATCAAACATATGAAGAAGGCGGATCAAGTTTTGTCAAGAAAATCCAGTCAAAAGGGAGATGAGAAATTAACTCTTTTTAATAGCACTCTGTATTTTCTTATACTTAATATAAAATACTCCTAAGACTTGTCACTATTTATAGATGAGATATTTTTTCTTATATTAAATAGATGAAGGTGGGATAGTAATATGGATAAATATTTATTTTTTAAAAAAAGTAATGCCTTAAAAGTTTTATAAATTATAAATAAAATAATAATCAAATAAAAAGTTAAGAAATTATAAAAGTTTCATAAAAACCTATTGCCACGTACATTCTACCACTAACCTAAATGTGAGAAATAATGCACAACAAATGCCACCAACGTGCAGCAGCACATCTTGACATTATAGAATGAGGCACTTTAATATAATATTTAATATTAAAATGCTTAATACTATACCCAACAAGACTCAAACGTGAAGTTTTTTGACGGAAATGATCAAAGAGGACCAGTACTATCAGTAAAAAATTACACTATGTTGTTACAAATTTGAGTGGTGACTAATTTTAAATAAATATATAGGGCAAAAGAGATACTAATCTGAAAAACAAAAAAGTGTTTCTACAATACAATAATTTTGGCCGGCCTGCGTTTAATAGTGAATGTCAAAGTGGGATGTCTATCAAATCTTACATTACAAGTGGGAGAGACACCAAATGAGACATTGACAGGATATATTAATAGCGACTTTGAATTGTTTTGTCACGTCGCCGTCGGTAATGCCAATTCGAGTGCAAATATCGCTATATACCTATCAACTAATTAAGGTATTAAAGGGCCGTTTGGTAGGCTGCATTAAAAGAAATAGTCCATGTATTATGTATAGTATTATTTAGTACGATATTTGATAGGAATCTGAGCCTATGTACAAAATTAATCCATGGATTAGTTATACATCCTACATGGTATTATAGGATGTATTACTAATACCTTCCATTTGGAGGTATTAGTAATACATAAGATATAATACCATGGGATAAGTCTATGTAAAGACAAAAATATCCCTCAAATAATTTTAACTATTTTGTTTATTTTCTTGTTTTTATGTTTTATATTTGTACTAGTAAATTTATTTAAATAAATTAGCTTACAAATTATTTAGAGAGAGTTGTTTGTTACTAAATAAATCCAATACGAATTTGAAATGTGAGTTATTAAACATTTACTAATTAAAAAGGCAAATATATCACTACATGACGTTTGTGATCTTATATATATATATGTGTGTGTGTGTGTGTGTGTGTGTGTGTGTGGTTTTCTAATTATTTGTATTTTGAACAATTTTTAAAAATTACATACATATTAAAACTATAACTTGCAATTTTTATGTGTAAATGTAGATGGTTTATTTAATTTTACCATTGTTGACCGTCTTTTCAATTTTAAAAGTAGATGGTTTATCTTTCTAAAATTGAAAATTGACATTTTGTGAGTGATCAATTTATTAAGATGACAATTTATTATCCTCAAATAATTCAAGTGAAAAAATAAGAAACATGACAACAAAATTGTTCTTCTCATAGCTAGTTAGAAGGCCATAAAAAAAAATATTGTCCGGCAATTATCTAATCTAACTTGACCCAAGTACATAATAATTCAAGGTATAATTGGAAAGAATATTTTTAAAGAGTTTAAATCCAAACACAAGATGAGGTTGGAAACAATGAACCAAACACTTGATAAAAATAAACTCTACATTACTAATCCCTACTACACTACTAATCCCTGCATTACTAATCCCTACATTACTAATCCTTGCGTTATTAATTTTTGTACAAACAACCCCTAAATAAATGAATTGGATTGAATTTGAATCAATATGGTTAATTGATTATGTATAACATATCAAATAAAAAATATTTCAAGATATTTCTCATAGGTCAATTTTTTTTAAAAAAAATTAATTTTCAAATAGGCTTAATTAGGTTAACTAATTAATTGTTGTAGTACCAGAAAGGAACTCGTATAGGCTACTTCCTTTTTTTTAGATTGTTTGGTCAATCTCTTTTGTTCGTTAGAGGCAACGTCCATGTCCCCCTCTAATCTTTTAAGTATTTCTACTTAGATATCACATGGTAGAGGTTTAGCCAAACTCCTCACACATGTAGGCTCACAACCTATTGGTGACAACTTTTAGTTAAGAAAAAAAAAACTCAATTTTCAAATTGGCTTAATTAGACGAATTAAGATGAATTGAGTAAAAAAATAAACATTAAAAAAAACCCAATGGATCCTAATTGAAGTGAAGATCAGTTGATGGCTATGTTGTCACGATCCAAAAATGGACGTGATGACACTTGTCTACTCCCATCAGACAAGTCAGCTTCAACCCAACGAAATAAAAGAAAAGCATAAAGATAAAGCAAGAACAAGATAATAGCGGAAAACTTATTCATTCTACAATAACCCCAAATCATGGTTGTCAAGTGTACAAGTCACTAATACATAAAGTACGGAAATAAAAATAAGTACAAGTTTTAATGTCTTTGTTTCTCAAATAGAAAAAAACCTAGCACAAAGGAAGGAGAGGGCCCGCTGGAATGACAAACAACTACCTCTCAAAGTCCTTCAACAAGACTCGAGTATAAGAGAAGAAGAGAGATCACACAGAACTGGGTTCGGAACCTACACAGGTGGAGAAGCAAGGAGAGAGTACCAAACAACACGGTACTCAACAAGCAACCTGATAAACAAATAAAATCTAGCTAGAAAACGAACACTCATTTCATTCCAACTGAACCTCCTCCAAACTACAACCTGCATAGAAATCAACCTAACCTAACAATGCAATACATAGATCACAACGTTTAACCACACAGTTCAATAGTCACAATTCAACAACCAAGATGTATCACAATTACAAGTAACAAGTAGATTAATCACAAATATCAAAATGCATCAAATCACAGTAGTCAACTCTTGCTAGAACCATTTTCCTTCGGCACAATATCACTAGCCGGAATCATTTTTCATCGGGTTTATATCACATCACTAGCCGAAACCATTTTCCTTCAACTTTATATCATATCACTTGCCTGAACCATTTTTCATCGGCATTATATTACTTGTCAGAACCATTTCTCATCGGTTTTATATCACATCACTAGCCGGAACCACCATTTTCGTTCGGCTATGTCACATGACTTGCCGGAACCATTTTTCTTTGACATAATATCACTAGCCGAAACCATTTTCTTTACTTTTATATCACATGACTAGCCGGAACTATTTTCCTTCGGCTTTATATCACATGTCTCATCACGGTGTACAACAATCAATGCACATAAGCAATTTCACACACCATAAAGAAGATACATCAATTAAAGCAATTCAAGTTTACCCTCGTTGGTCCCACTTAATCTTAAAATAATACTCCAACACATTTATGAGGAGAGAGAAAAATGTCTACTTTTTAAAGGGCAATTTGGTAAACATTTCAAAGTCTTCATTTATTTCTTAAACTCCGTGCCCGGTCAAATATTGCCACATAAAATGAGACGGAGGGAGTATTTTTTTTTAGGTTTCTCCCTTTTCAAAATTTAAGGAAGTTGATGGGTATAAGCACTTTAAAAGAGTTCAAGAAGTTAAAGTTAAGCTAATAAAGCTTAAAATAAAATACATTATGTTTGTCCTAATCTTTAGGAAGTAGTATAAAATATTTTTTTCAAAAAATAAAATTCAGTAGCACTGGAGGTGTTGTACATCATTACAAAAGTTTAAATACAACACATGGATAGAAACTATCCATCAAAGAAAGGGGCAAACAGCACAAAAATCAACTTATTGCCCATCAATACTACAACAAGAAGAGAAGCCTAACTAACAAAGTTTCACTTGGCTAAGAAATTTTCATATATATATATATATATATAATTTTTTCTTTACCCATTTAATATTTAATACAACAAAAAATTGTTTAACGGTGTTCCAGTGTTTGCAAAGCAATTATCAATTATCAATATTTTTCTACTATTATATATGTGTAATTATTATATCAACTATAATTTGATGTTGTACTGATATTCATATTGATCATTCACGAAAATTCATACTTTATTTATTCAAAATTATAATTTATTAAAGTATTAAAATATTACTTTATAAAATCGTGTAGATATTATGTATATGACTCAACATACACATATAAAAGTATGTGGCAACAGGCAAGCCTTAGCTAGGGAATATATATTTTTCTTAAAATACTCAATACATTAAGGGGATGGGATGTAAAAGCCAATCCCAAACTCATGTACAAGTCGGACGGTGACAATATAGATCCATCGACATTAATTACACAAAATTAGTCCCTTCGGGAATATCCGATAAAAATTATACAAAAATTAAATTATATTTAGGCTGATTATATGAACTATTTCAAAAGATTAACGGGGGTTGTGATGCAGTGAGACTGTTTCACCTTTAATCAGAGGTTTTGAATTTGAGCTCAGATCAGAATAGAGAAAATTTAGTTGAGAGTACCACCTCCAATATGAATGTCATGCAGTGCGCGATCCGAATTTAGTCGGAGCTCCAACGTGGACGCATGAACGATCCAAATAAAAAATAAAAAATAAAAACTAGTTCAAAAGTAAACAAAAGTTAGGTACGCAAACAAAGTCATCGCCATGAAAGACCAGCCAAAGGAGGTGGATGATGAGCTATTGCTGTGTCTGTTGCTGTTGCTGCCGACCGTCGTCGGGTGAGAACGAGCTGATGGGATCCATGTGGTGGTTGCAGTTCCACTTCCACTAGACCCACTACTACTAGACTTGGTTCCACTGCTACCAGACCCACCTCTTGCCTTGGTTCCACTACCACCAGATCCGCTACTTCGACCACTTCGGCCACTACTACCGCCCTTCGCAACGGTAGGTGTCAGGAGTACGCACATGATGATAGAAAGCACAATCACAACCTTCATAACGCTCTTCATTTTTTTCACTACTCCCACACCTTTTTATTATATACACTGACAGTGTAAAAGATATGAAAAGATTAAAAAAACAAAAACTTCTCAATAGTCAATACTATAAAGATTCTCGTTGTTCTTGACGTTGTTTGAGCTTGTTATTGTCTCTCTTTGTGTGTAAGAAAAAAATTTGAGATATATATGCTGAAGCAAACAAGCATGATTATGCATTTTTTGTTATAAAGAAGAAGGGAAGTCAATAATTGGAGTAGAACTTTCTTCAACACGGCTTGAAAGATTTGCCAACTTGAGAAGTAGAGAAGTCAACTGGAATTTGTAATTATATGATGATTTCATACAATTTTATATCCTTAATTTTCTGTCATTACATGTGCTACAAGACTCAAAGTGGAAGCATTTAATGGGAATGATCTTCTACAACTACTATACTATATATATTATTACAAATTTGAGTGGTGACTAATTTTAAATCAATATATAAGAATAAAATATATTTTTCATTTTAATTTGTTTTTCTCAATTAATATTTGAATGGTTAAATAGTATTTCTTTATTATATTTTTAAAATATCTTAAATTATAACTATCGTAATTTATAGTATATTTTATGTGATTTTTAAATATATGAATTTTATATTGAAAAAATTATATCCAAAATTGCACTAAATAGTACATTAATTTGACTTTTCGTATTTCAAATCAAACCAAACAAACTAAAATGGAGGAGTACCATTGTTTGAAAACTCGTCCAACAAATTGTTGTGTGACCTACATCCAAACTTTGTCAAATTCTAATTAATATTTTAGTAAAATAGTGTTTTTGACCTGGCGTTCAACAAATATTGGTTGGAACTTTTAATTATTTTGTCATGTGGGTAGTTCGAAAATGAATTTTTGTGGGAAGATCGTTAAAAAAGTGTACCAACTCAAATAATTGGGACTTGTCGATAAGAGGGGAGTTGGTTTGGATGGTAAATATTTCTCACCTTCAATTTTAAGATTGTGAATTTGAGTTAATGAAAAAGTAAAAATCGAACAAGCCATGACTAAATGTATGAAGGTATGAGAATGAGGGCTAATGAACAAGTCAAAAGTCAAATCACATTATCAAAAATTAAATTTTAATGTGTTAATAATGTGAAACAAAGAAATTTTCTTTTGATAAATGATAAGTAAGCATTTTATTACCAAAGAAGTTTACAGCTAAAAAAAAAATCGGTGTTGCCTTAGTTAATCCTTCCTGCAAAGTAAAGTATAATAACCTTACTTCAAGATTATATTTTCTCCCCTTTAATGGCTGACCTTAACCATTTGATAATGTTAGCAAATCAACACCCAAAGTAGTACTTGGAATTGGCAAAGAAAAATAAAGAAGTGCATTTGACTACATGAACAAATGGAAAGAAAAAAAGAGAAGCTTATCTGATGTGTCTGTGCCAAGAGTTGAGTGAAGTTTAGTCAGTGGTGAGTGACCTAATTTATTTACACTTAATTATAGAAATTGGAAGTTATTTGAATTGTAGTCATTAATTGGTGTTCTTAAGATTTTAATAATGTTAATGCTAAAATAAATAAATATAAGGAAATGTCACTACTAAATAAAGAGTGATTCCTAGCCTTCTGATTATGGGCCTATTGTTGGTCATTGAGGTACGATCTTCAAACTCAACTTTGATTCGATTTTTGGCAAATATTTGATAAGAGTATTTTTACTTATTGTACAAGACAAAAGAGTTTGTGGTTTAAATAGAATTGAACCTTACACCTCTTCTAGCTTAAACTCAGCTAAACCAATGGCAAAATGTATACTTTCTTTTGTTCATTTGGCTTATTTTGATTTAACACGGAGTTTAAGAAAATAGGAAATATTATAACTGAATTATCTTTAAATTTTGTGATCTTAAGCATATCATATAAAAATTTAAAATTTAAAATCTCTAAAAAAGAGTCACTATTTTTTAAAAAAAAAGAAGAGAGAAAGTAGATTAAACAAATTAGAATGTAGTGAGTAATAAATAGTGACACGGCCATTTCGAGAAATTTTGTGCACGGCATTATTGGTCAAGTTGATTTTTTAAATGTTTGGCTTTTTGTGCACCACATCTTCCTTATCCATATTGCTCAAGTTAGGCACATACTCAATTGTGTGTATATCCGACTCAATTATGTGTATTATTTTTGTAGATTTTAAAATTGTCGGTACCGACACAGAATGTGAGTCTCCTTCTCTTGATAAATATTTTTCTTTTTTTGCGGGATCACAATTGTTAAATGAGTTTCGAACATTAGAAGTGTTATTCCTCTAAAATAATCACAAAGGTGACCAAAGATACATCGAATCAAGAAAAAAATTAATAAAATCCGTGTTGTACCACTATTTTCTTTCTGTGACTTTCATAAATATCAAAGCAGATAAGCTACTTCAATTTGTGATGATTTTCAAATACATGTATAATTATTTATTTAAAGTTATATTTTATTTTATATTAATACTAACTTCATTTTTTAATTAAATAATCGTGTACGTATTACATGACTCAACATACACATAGAACTCACGTATTCAAGATCCTAGCATATTTTTAAAGATAAAACAATCAATACTCGATACATTAATGGGATTGGATGGGAAGTAAATAAACCTTGGGAACTCAATGCCTTGTACCCAAACTCTGGTACAAGTCGAACAGTGACAATACATATTTACATGAATTGCACAAATTAAATATACTATAGTTCAAAAGTAAGCAAAATTAAGGTAAGAAAACAAAGCCATTGCCATGGAGTACCAGCCAACGGAGGTGGTGATGGATGATGAGCTATTTTTGTTGCTGTTTGTCCTAGCATGATCATGAGCACGATCTGATGGGATGGATCCATACCCCCTAGTTCCACGACGACGCCACGCAACGGTAGGTGTCAAGAGTATGCATATGATGATAGAAAGTACTACAAGCACAACCTTAGCAACACTCTTCATCTTTTTTGTTAGCTCCCACTGGTTATGACTAGAGATCTGAAGGGATGAGAAATGTGTGAAGTATGTGAAACGAAGAAACTTCCTTTGTTGTTTTGTTTGATAAGGACATAGTGAAAGGAGATAAGGTGTGCCAAATCAGCACCTAAATTATTATTCGCAGTTGTCAAAGAAGAATAAGAAATGCTTTTTACAATATGAACAAATGGAAAGAAAAAAAACACTTTTATGTGTATGTGCCTAGCTGGAGTTAAGTGTTTATTTTCTTAGAGCAAAGTCTTAATATTATTAAGATATTCATCTAAGAATTTTTATTAGAATGACATTTCATCACTACTCCATCATTATATGATCAATTATATCATCAGTGCACCCATAACTATCATCATTACAGTCAACTATCATTATCACTAGCCATTATTTATAATTATTTCTAGACGCAGGTGTCTGTACTAGCACGAGTTCAATATCTATTTTTTTTAATTTTAATTAATGTGATATACATAGAATTTAAAAAGCTAATTAAATAGATTTTTTAAGTTGTTAATTATTGTTTGTTTGCAAAAATTTAATGTGAAGAGGTCCATTAAGATGTCCATAATTAAATTATTTTTTGTCATCGATCATTGATTTTTTTACTCAAAATAGTTACAAAATATAACCATATATTATCGACATTAAAAATAATAAAGTTATAACTAAAGAATATGAATTTAAAACTAAAAGTCATAGCTAAGATAGATCCTATAATTTTGAAAATATTATACACTAATTAAATTAAAATAGGACAAATTATTTTCTTTTTTCCAAATTACGTTGAAGCAGGCATGTCGACGAAAACATGCCTGCTTCAGCGTGAACTCTCTTATATAATAAGAGAAAATTACCAATCACTAATACATGATTGACAATCATCCTCACCATCAACTTTTACTATATAAGGATTAGATATCACTCGTAATGTGTTGTTACTATCATTAACTATCATTATCATCAATTATTTATGTACAACTATCACCAACTACCTAAAGAAGATTATAAATAAACTACGAAAGTATGAGTTTCATATCTAAAATTTTTTAACTAACATCACTTTTAAAAAAAGTTATGAACAAATAGTGGATCCGTACAACATAAATTTCTTTACTATTCCTTCCGTTCCAATTTATGTGACACATTTTGAATTTTGAGATTCAAACAAGTCTATTTTTTACAGTAAATTTTCATATATATTTTTAAATATTTTGGATTTTCAATTATTAATGTGACTAAGGGGTGTCAAATGGGTGGGTTGGGTTGAAATTGGAGATATTAAAATAAGTTGATATAGAAATTGATTGTCTTGACTCGCCCAAGTTTACTTTGGGCTCAAATGGGTTGGGTTAAAAATCGGGTTGGGTCATGACCCGCCCAATTTGACCTGTTTAATCTCAATAATTTAACATATTGTTATTTAACATTTATAACCACAATTTGAATTTCAACTCAAGAATATTTTTTAAAAAAAGTTATAAGTGGATAGATAAATCATAAAACATATAAAATAGATAGTAATTCATACATTACATGAATGCAAATAAAGAGTCTTAAAACGTCTTAGAATTGAAGATTAAATTGGGCACAATTGTGGATTCTCCTATATGAGTTTAGGTTTAAATGGGTTGAGAATTGCGATAGAACCCACTTCAAATTATCTTGAGCGCAACCATTAAAATTCTGGGTGGGTTGGGCGGATTACCTATTTTTGGACTCATTTTTACACCCCTAATTGATGACTACTACTTTTTACGTAGTTTACAAATACAAAAATTTTATTTCAAAAAATTTGAAGATTTTATGCGCAATTTCTGATCAAACTTAAACTGTTTGACTCTCGATAAACGAAATGTACCTAATAAATTGAGTGAATCCAAAATTTTTCTATAACCGCCTCCAAAGAAAGAAGTACCTACAACGGGCATGCATTTTGAATGAAATAGTAATATGTTTGAATCACTATGATATTCAGAAACCCACGCAAACTAATC